TTCACCCACGTCCTAATGTCAACTGTTGTAAATGTAGAGCCTGCCTTAACTACCTTGAACTAAATCAAAACTTCTCATCTAAAATTAATTCACCCCTAAATTATGTTTACTCTTCTTATATTAATATTTGCCAATAGCCTTTTTTATTCCAGTATAAATTATTTTAAAGGAATGAAATTGCTAATACCTCTTTTGCAATCAATGAAAATTCAAAAAATTGGGGGAAAGTGAATAGTCAATATTTTACCTTTCCTGAAAAATGAAACTATTTTACATAAGTGGATGTGTATCTTCAATATTTACAAAAAGAACCATTATTCACAGACCAAAACACTTTTAACCACCTAGCAAGGAATGTATATGGCAGTGATATGGCCTATATAAAAGAATTAAGGCAGTCAGTTTGCTCAGCAAATCCTTACCAACTTAAGGTTATTTAGTCTAATCTCAACATTATTGATTATCGTTATAGTAGCTGCATTAATTTCAAAGCTACCAGACAGAAAGAAATTGTAAAACAGAACTAAATGTTTACTGAAATCATTATTGACCCCAATCTCACAGATTGATACAAATGTACTAAGTCACTATCTTTAGAACAAATCCTCCTAACACCTTTCCTTAATGAATTCAAGCTACAAAGTGAATTCTTCAATACTGATTTTGAAAATCAAGTTTATCAGAAAAAAAAGAAGGAAAAGGGAACAAAAGTGAGCAGTAATGGGTTCTATGCACTAAAATTTCACAACTGTTTCTTCAACCCAATGGTTTCTACAGGAAAAAAAAAAAATATGGTACCATATAAATTCCTTAAACTACATTAACACCACATTTTCTGGAAGCTAAATCTTTATAGCATGACAAAGGCCTTACATTTCGAGTTAGTGGAAAACTGTCATATGCATACACACTTGTAAAGTTCTCTTTACAAATGTTGAATTCACATACAGTATCAATACAAAAACATTTCCCACACTTTCTCTTTAAAAGATTGAGATAAAACTTTAAAAAGAGTGTTTCCTGAAAGCGAATTACCACTGAAACTTTGTGAATTGATTTTCCCATAATGAATACACGTCCATTAAAAGTCACTGAAGTAATTGCTTCAGAAGTGGCTTAAAAATTCTTAAAAAGTATTAAGCTACACCAATTGAACAAAATAGCAAACAGAGGCAAATTTCAAAATGAAAACATTTGAAAACAAGAATTGAAGACTTTTTCACTTCCAAAAAGTAAGCAATTTCATCGACACTAAGAAGTTTACATATCTTATATAGTTATTGAGAAAGCAGATATGCTGTTCCACACAAAAATTAAAATATCGCCAGCTGCCTTTCCATATTATTAAAATAAAATTCTAAAAACTAATAAAGGCATCCTTCTCTACCACGTTCTAAAATTAAGTTTAAGATGAAAGTGGTTATAACTCACCATATTTCATTATCTTTAATCACTTAGTATTTACTTAGCATATTTTAAGCAACGTAAATCTGCACTGATGACTGCACTGTTGTGCAAACTTTTACAATGGACAGAAGTAAAATTTCTTTTTCCTTATATTAACAGACTAATAAACTGTATTACTCCTTTCAGTTGTGCTTTACTCTTGAATAGGCTTTACGGAAAATGAACTTTGTAAATTATCATACAGCAATTAGGTGGTCCTGTCGTGTTTTTCAGGAAATACAACTTAGCAGATACAAAACATTGTAAAATAAAGATTGTGAATAGAATCTTTTCTAAAAACCTCATGATTAATTTCAATAATCACTTACCTTAAGAGATAATTTAGCTAACTTCAACAACCAATGTACTCTGCAAGTTAAAAATATTCCCTATGAAGATCAGTATTTGAAAAGATGCAAATCTCCCAAACAAAAAAAATACAGAAGCCTAAAGTTTCCACATACCCTAAAGACACTAAATTTTGTATAGCCAAGTTTAGCACAATCTTTCAGACTAATAAGACTAAAACTCTAACCAATTTCAATAACTCAATTTTGCAAAAATATTTTAAAACTGAATTACTGTCCTTAATTTTCCTTGGAGAAATGACTTCATTATTAATCTTTATCAGATAAAAATATTTCAATCACTGCTTTCATAAAGGAATTTAACTTTTAACAGGTCAGCTGCTACAATAGATAACAACCTGCCAGAAACAGTCCTCTATGACCATTTTAATCCCCCTCTCCAATAAACGTAAGACACTAAAGTGAAACCCAGCGAACTACTTTGGTATTTCAAAATTATTGGGAGTACAATTATCAAAAAAGCAAGCACTTCACTAACTTTCCTGACTTTTTTTCATATCAACGTTTGGCTCAATAAAACCACAACTCTAGAAATTAAGTGTTATTAGTCATTTGATGCAATATTTGATACTGCTTTCTATGTAATCATAACTAAAAGTACAGTTTTAGAGAAAGTTTTAAGTCACATAAATTTCATGTGCAGAGGCCCATATACTTTGAAATCAAAGAAGAAATTTTCAATCACCTCACAGCTCACATATAAGAACCTGGTAGGCCGGGTGCGGTGGCTCACGCCTGTAATCCTAGCTCTCTGGGAGGCCGAGGCGGGCAGATTGTTTGAGTTCGAGACCAGCCTGAGCAAGAGTGAGACCCCGTCTCTACTAAAAAATAGAAAGAAATTAATTGGACAACTAAAAATATATAGAAAAAATTAGCCGGGCATGGTGGCGCATGCCTGTAGTCCCAGTTACTCGGGAGGCTGAGACAGGAGGATCGCTTGAGCCCAGGAGTTTGGGGTTGCTGTGAGCTAGGCTGACGCCACGGCACTCACTCTAGCCTGGGCAAAAGAGTGAGACTCTGTCTCAAAAAAAAAGCCAAGAACCTGGTAAAATAATTTTAAGGTCGTATAACCATGATAATCTTAAATCAAACAAGGGAAGTAAAAATAACATAATGTACTTTAAATGCTGAAAGAAATCTGTCTCCCAGACAGCACTGTAGTAATAACTTTGAATAGGGGCTTTTAAAAAAAAGTTCATAAACATTTAATTTTTTGTTCCTGTATATTTGGATGACTGTCATTAATTCACACCAATAGTAGAATGCTTTTGGAGTGTCATAAATCAGAAGAATTTTTTCATAATTATCTTCTGGGCAAGCGGGTGAAGTTTAGCCTTAGCAACGTTTTTCAATTAATGCAGACTCCAAAATTTGCAAATACTCTTTTAAAATATTATTTTAAACTTAACAGAAAATTAAGTTTCACGAAGCTACTTCTTCAGTAAATTTTATATTCATTTCAGAACAAAAATTTGGGCAAAATTAACTGTGCACATTTATATGAAGCTAACATAATCCAAAGCAGTAAAATTTCTTCCAATATAAAACATTTTCTAAAAAATCTTCCCCACAATTTTTAGCAGGACATAAAGACACTTCAGTGTCACTCTACCTTCAAACAAAATATTTACTGATACAAGAGGTGGGGAACCTGCTGCCACATGTGGCCCTCCAGATGCCCAAGTGCAGCCCCACTACCAAATCCAAACTACACAGAACAAATCCCTTTATTAAGAGGATTTGTTGGGTAAAATTTGGATTCAGTCAAAAGGCCACAATCAAGGATCCAAAAGGCCACAGGTTCCCCACCCCAATCAGAGCTCAATAACTTAATTCTGTTATAGCTCTCAATTCCTGTCAATACTTTCCATTCTGCAAAAAATGAGGGCTCTCATCCTCATCCTTGATCAAAACCAGTTTGTTGTACCCGAAACTGCAAAGACCAATGCTTTTCGATAACCACTAACTTTTGAAATATAAAGGCCTAACTTTTAGACAACCAAAACTATACACTGTTAAAATACTTGGGTTTCTGTCTTATTCAACAAGCTGACTCAGTAAATTTAATACACTGTATGTGAAAAGCTAATATACCTACAATCTGAAGCTGGAGTAAACCACTCTTGCCAACATTTCTGGGTATGAGCTGGTAAAACACACTTGACAATCTACACTAGTCAGAGTAAACTTAACGGACACCAAAAGGTGTCAGAAGACCTGAAACCTAAAAAAGGTGAACAGCAATTCTGGCATCACAGTAATACTTAAATTTCAAGTGAGAACTGAAGTTTAATCTCTGCAATCATCTGCTACACACAATACCCTTGAACCTACACAATATACTATCATCTTGAATCAAAAACTACTCAACCACCATTCTAATATGCATGATGAGAGCACTGAAAATAAAATGCAACTGAACTGCAAATTTCATGCCCTATTCTACATCCCCCATTGGGAGAGAAAAAGGCAAATACAATAAAGATCTAGTAACAGCGCCTTATAAGGTATATTATGGCACTATTGATTTCAAACTACAAAACTTCTAAATGCAGTTCAAAGTTGCAATTAACTTTGTTTAGACATAAAAAACCTATTTTTTGCCTTCGAATATGCACCATATAGGCTGAAAATGATTCTGCTTCTATAAAGTTATGCAAATCAGTCCAAAACTCACATTATAAAAGAATCTATCAATGTAACCCAGGAAATTAAAAAGAATCACTGCAAGATTCTGATGCAATATGCGTAAGTGCAACACTAATTTTCATTTTAATCTGATCTATACCCTTGATCTAGGGCCTAAGCCAAGATTTAATCGCAATATGCTCAACCTCAAAGCATCTACTTTTTGTTCATTTAGTAGACCGGATTATCGAGCTCACTAATCCACTAACAGTGTACTGTACTCTCTATTAACGGACAATAGCCCTCAGGAAGAGACCATATAGATAGATTAAGAAACGAATCGGTGCCGTGACACTTGCAACCAGGCAAGAGTTCCATCTAGCCGAACACACCCTAGATTGACTACATTGAAAAGAAACACAAAACATATGATCTATAAATCTGACCACGGTTAAATGTTATAGTCACCCAAACCACGGAATTTTTCCCATCCGTCTACTCCGCGTTATAAGAGAGAGTGACAGAAAGGCAAAGAAGAGCAGCCGCAGAAATGGATACAGGTCAAGTCTAAGTCGAATCCATCCTCTTGATATCTCCTTTTGTTTCTGCTAACGATCTCTTTGATGATGGCTGTCATGTCTGGGAGCCTGTGGCTGAAGAAAAAGGAGGAGAGAGATGGCAGAAGCTGCTGGTGGCGGGGCTTCTTCTGCAGGATGGAAATGGCTCTGGACTTGGCGGTAGCTGATGCCCCTCGCTCTGCTGCCGCTTGGCTCTGGACCGCAGCCGGGTAATGGCTGCTGCGGCGGCTGCTGGATGGTTGCAGCGACTGGGCCTGCTTCTCCTCAGCAGCCAGAGGCCTGGCAGCGGCGGCAGAGGAATGGGGAGAAGACGAATAATCCTCGGAACGGCTGCCTCCTCCGGCGGCCTCCGGAGCCCGGGCCAGGGGCGGTGCGGCGGCGGCGGAGGGGAGGTTTAAAACCTGCCCGGGTCCCTGGATGTGCCGCCGCCGCCGCCGCCGTGTTGGAGGCAGTAGAAGGGGAGAGACCAACTCTCCGGCGTTCCCAGCCCTGGAAATGGTGACAGGCGGCTCCGACCCCCTCCCTGGAGCTGTAGCCGCCGCGGCCGCGGCCGCCGCTTCTCCCCCCCGCTCCAGGAGCGGGAGGTGCCGCCGCCGCGCCTCAGCCGGCTCCCGCCCGAGCCCACGGCTTCCACCTTCCCTTTCAGGAGAAGCCGAGGAAGAGGCTGCACGGTTAGAAAAGACGAAGAGGAGGCGAGAAACGCCGCCGCTGCGGCCGCCGCAGGTCGGCCGGCTCCCCGAGAGCGCTGCCCCCGCGGCTGCTCACAGGCGCTGAGAGGGGCTCGGGGCCGCGGCCGCCGCCGTCTCTCATCTCCCTCGCCTGAGCCCGGCCTCGCCTCGCAGCGGCTCAACTCTCAAACTTCCATCATGGCTGCAGCTTCCGAGAGGAGAGAACTGAGCGCAGCCGCGTTCTCGCACCCCAACGCGTATCCTGCCGCAGTGCACAAAGAGTCCCGCCACATCACCGTCCGCCGGCATGCCCGCCCCCTCCGCCGCCGCGCCGGGAGTCCGGTGGCCTCGGGAGCCTGAGGGGAGGCGGGAGGCGAGCGAGAGGACGACGCGAGCGCGCCGGGGGAGGGGAAGGCAGGGGCGGTAGGAGGGGGGCAGGAATGGCAGGTCTCCGTGCGAGCGCAGAGCCCCAAACCTGCAGGCGCTACTGAGCATGCCTAGTGTAACTACCAGGCGCCCGCTGTAGCTGCACTTGCCGCGGCTGCTTCTGCAGCAGCGCGGGGCGAGGGTAACGAGCTAAGCCTCGGCCTGTGCCCAGAAACCCAGCCGGAGGCAGGGTAGGCTGTTGGTTGTGGAGATGGAGGGCTGATGACGAAAGCTGAGACGGGTGCGTTGAGCAGTGTTACTGACTCGAGCCTGAGGTTACCTTTGCACAGGTGGAAAGGACCAGGTGACCGTGCTAATCAGTGCATAGGGAAATGCAGGGACAGTCCCTGCAGTGAGGACATCCTTCCCCTACCTCTGCCCCTAGATTTCCCGGTATGGCCTGCATTTACCGTCTCGTTTTGCACCAGTGTGGGATGACAGTCACTCGCAGCCTTTGCCTGTAGCAGCCTTTACCTAGACATTCCCCCTCCCCCCCTTGTCCTCAAGGTGTCAGTCTCAGCACAAAGAACAACCTCCCATTGTGTCTCCCGCATGGATCACCTCCTCCGGCTCCCTTTCACCGCCCCACCTCTCGCTTCCCCAACTCCGCTCATTTGCCCTAAACTCAAAAGCTTCCGGCCGAGCGCAGAGTGTGAACACATCGCCCCTGAATCTCCAAGGCCCAAAGGACACCTAGCTAGGTGCGCTGACAGTGGATCCCCGTGAGTGGGACGCACCCGTCAGCCTCCTCCAGTGGCCCTGGAGAGTCAAGCATCTCTCCCCCTCGGGCTCCAGGTCGCTTCACCCGGTCCAACTCAAGCTCGGTCCTTAGAAGCTACCTCGCCCCGCCCCATCTTGGTCGCCGTGAAAACGTGGCACGGTGGATTGCCCGGGGCAACCCATTGGCGCTGCCCGGGCCGGACTGTGCAACCTCGGGCCGGGGTTACGGGGCCCGAGTGCGAAGTACAGGACAGTAGGAAGCTGCAGCCCTGCGAGTGGGCGGGGCGAGGAGGCTTAGGAGGGTTCAAAAGGAGGTGGAGGGATACGCGGGCCGCAGTCGGAACTACTTTCTGAAGGAGGTCACGTGTGTTCCTAGTTGGGGAACTTTCCAAATTCCCACTCCCGTCTGATAGCTCCAGAGGCAAGTGCTTTGCTGCCTTTGCCTTGGGAGCTCCCGCCGGGTACGGACAGCCGGACTCCAGCCCCATCCCGGTCGCGGCGGAAAAAGGAGCTCAGACGAGCCTCCCGAAGGAGCGCTGTCGGGGTCAGCGCTTGGGGAGCCGGTTACACAAGCACCCACATCCAAGCACGTGCCCCCGCCTCCCCGCTCCGCTGGCCGCAGCCGATTCTTACAGAACGCGGGGAGAGTCCCCGGGCTGGTCCCATTCCTCGCATGCTACCCACAGAGCAAGCCAGAGGCCGAGACCTGAGACTCCCTGCACTGGATCGACCTTCGCTGCGCGTTCCCAAACGTGGGAAAAGGAGCTGGGCGCCAGGGGTCTGGGGCATCTCCCTCGCTGGTGCCTGCCACTGCGGGTGAACCCTTTTAGTTCTGTGCTCGCGGGGCAAAAGGGTATCTCCTGCTGCAGCCCGCTGCTTGGATTGTCCGATGTTGCAATAAACTTCCAGTCACTGCCCCTGAGCTGGTGAGCGCGCCCCACCTACTGTAGACTCAGCCAAGTGACTTATCTGATGAGAACCTAGTCAGTGGCCGTCAGCGCCAAACAAACCTGTCAAGTCTGCCTACAGTCCCAATTGGTTGACCTACCCCCCCGTGAGAAAACTGATTTGGAAATGCTGAGAACTGCAGTGCATTTTCCCCGACTTCAGAAAGCTGTAAAGCAAATAGTCCACCTTATGCTTGAGGAAAATGGGCATCAATCAACACCAATCTAAGAACTTCTTTTTCTTTCCCTGGGGAAGTAGAACTCAAGGAGACAATTTGAGTCCAAAAATATCTTTCTTGAAACCTAGGCTGAGGCACCGGGTCGTTTTTCAAAATTTGGGATAATGAGAATCAATGTGTGTTGCCATAATTGTGAGTAATGCCTAGTAAGGTCTAAAGAGGATTTAGGCAGTGCATGAGAAAGAAGATTGTATGTGTGAACTTCATAGTTGCAGGCAGCCCCTGAAGACTAGAAACCCCAAGAGGCCTAGTTCAGAAAGTCGCAGGCCGTTACCTAACTCCAAGGACTACTAATTAAACCTGGGATATTTACAGTATTCTTAGAGATCTTTGAGGCTCCATAAAACTTTGCATTTATATACAATATCTTTTTAAGATAGCTCTCCAGGAGTTAACAACCTGCTGAAGCTTCAATGTTGATATTTATTGAAGGATGGTTTTGTGCATGGTCCTGGTTAGCTAGGGAGAGGCAGGAACCCCAAGTGGAAAAGGAAATGGAAAAAAACCTGAAAAGTAGGAGAAAAGTCTCCGTTTGATTTCCAAAGGTGCAAATCCTGTCCACACAGCCTAGTGTGAGCTAGAGATTTCTTCATTTTACAAATAACCAAGAATAAAGAGTCCCTGATGTCTAAGTGTTCTACTAGATTGTATGGTAAAAACCTGAGCTATGCTCAATCGAGTATCAACTACTGCTTGGTAGAAAAAGGGGAAACAAAGATGAACGTAAATAAAGGAGGGTAGATGGGGGTGTGGTAAAATGTCCCACACTTGTTTCTCAAGTTGCTGATTTTGTCCCCTTAGTCCCTGTTATTAGCACTGCCCTACTCTGCCTCTCCCCTGGAGCCTACCCCTATGTGACCATTAGTCTCTTGGCATCTGAGAAGCTCTGAAATCTGCTTCTTTGGAAGAAAATGAAACAGGGTTCATTCCTGTCTGTTAGTATTATATTAGGCATGAAGAAAGAGGATCCTTTTCAATTCCATGACATAGAGTTACTTCAAAACAGAGAAAATTTGCATCACGGGCACCAAAGTGCTGGAATATGACACCAGCCCACAAGCACTTCCATCTGGCTGAAAGAAGAAAACGGGAAATGGGTTTGGGAAAGGAAGAAAGCAGGAAAAGGGAAATGCTTCTCTAAACATCAGGTCTCTCTACTTCTCTCTAGTGGTGAATGAAAGGATCACTAATGTTGGCAGATATTTGGCCACCTTGACAGCAACATCAGGTGGTTATTAGGAGTTATTAGGAATAAAAACCTCCTACCATGCCTAGTGTTAACTTGTCTGTGAAAGAAATACAGATGTATCCTTTTTCAATTTTTGTTTTTCTTCACTATTTCTTTCTACCGAAGTGGATCCCTTGAGTCCCCAAGTGGTAGAGCTGAAACCTCTAAATAGCTAGCCCTATCTAACGTACAGAAAATTAAAAATAATAATTTTTTTAAAGTTCAGTTGAAATTATCTGCTTAGCTGTACATATATTACAATACATTGGTTTCCAAGCACTTCAGTTCTTTACCTTTCTGGATTCAGAATGCCCTAGGGAAAAACAGAAGCTTGTAATAAAGGGAGAATTATATAAAGCTTCAGGGAGACTAACTATATAGAATAATTAGTGAAGATGATAAACCAGCTTTAATTATAGTTTCTAACAGCTGATTGCAAAACTGTATTGTTACTACACCCAAAGAATATCCAAAAAAATTCCTTTCTTATTTTCTTTGATAAGTGAAATGACCAAGCAATTTGATGTGATGATATTAATATAAATAGTTGATGTGTTCTTTGTAGGTCCTGCCGCTAAAATGTCTTTAGTCTAAACACTCTGTTCACTATGGTGCCTTTCTCATCTCCCACACACTGACCTTTCAAAAAGAGATCTAAATCAATGGTTTTAATTTTTTTTTTTTTTTTTATTGACTCAGAGTCTCACTCTGTTGCCTGGGTGAGTGTCGTGACGTCAGCCTAGCTCACAGCAACCTCGAACTCCTGGGCTCAAGCAATCCTCCTACCTCAGCCTCCCAAGTAGCTGGGACTATAGGCACGCATCACCACATCCTGCTAATTTTTTCTATTTTTAGTAGAGAGGGGTCTTGCTCTTGCTTAGGCTGGTCTCGAACTCCTGAGCTCAAGTGATCCTCTTGCCTCGGCCTCCCAGAGTGCTAGGATTACAGGTATGAGCCACTGCGCCCGGCCATCAGTGGTTTTAATTTTTAAGCAATCTTCTCTATTTAACTACTGTTTTCTAAATGATACAGAATTGAAAAATATAATAATTATTGATTTGAATTTAAACTGTCCCATTCTTCCAACAGTCTGAAGGCTTTTCCCTTATTTCATTTATCCTAATAACAAATATTGTTGTTCTTTAAATAAAGATAGCTTTCCCAAGGCATTCTTCAAAAGGTGCTGCTATGGGCCATAAAAATAACTATAATAAATCCTAAAAGAGACTTTTCCCTTATTGTCTAAAGCTTTCCATGTCCTAAATCTCTCCTGAAGCTATTTCAGATGGTATGGTGTCACTTTTCACATCTCAGTAGAGAGGTGTGCTGTATGAAATCATCACTGTCATCACAGAGAAGTAAGGGTTGAGTTAGGCGCCCCTGGGAATCACAGAGCAGACCAGGTACTCACTATGTCCAAGTGGCATTCAGAAATTGTGACTTGAACCAGGGATGATTAAAAAAAAAAAAAAAAAAAGACGACTACCTAACATGACAAGACAGCTTTGACTATGTTAGTCTCCAGGTTAACATTGGCAATTGGGCAGTCTATTTTGGTCCCCTTAATGCTAATTCTAATCTAGTTCTATGGAACCCATATTTTGCTTTTTAGGCTTTACAATAGTAGAAAAAAAATAATTCTGATATACCCATAGGTATTGGGGCATCTACGAAGTGCGTCACAGAGTAGCCGAAATTTGTCTAGGTATAGGAGGGACATTGAGAAGGCTGACCACTAAGCTTACTCCTACAATCTTTCCCTTCAAAACATCCTCATCTCTGGAGCATCACATTTTCTGACAACAAAGAGCACCTTTTTGAAAGAGAAAAATGCACGGGCAAACTGTTTAAAGTACCTTTTTTGTCCATCTTCTTGACGGTAAGGGTCTTATCTCCATTCATTCACTTAATGATTCAATCAACAAATATTTGGGAGCCTATTATGTGCCAGTACTGTGCTAAGCTGTATGGACAGAGCAATGACTATAACCTACAGGGTTCACCTTCATGGAATTAAGTCTGCCTTGAAAACTTTACATCTTTGGCTGACACTGTTGCAAACTTTTCACACTCCATAAATTTTGTGTGTGTGTGTGTGTGTGTGTGTGTTTGTGTGTTCATTTTTAAATATTTTGTAGAGATCAGATCTCACTATGTTGCCTAGGCTGGTCTTTAACTCCTGGCCTCAAGTGATCCTCCTGCGTTGGCCTTCTAAAGTGCTGGGATTATAGGTGTGAGCCACTGCATCTTCACAGTCCGTAAAGTTAAAGCAATAGAAAATACCCTGACATTTGATAACTGTTTCAATTATCTATTTCTGCATAATAAATCACCTTACAACCTAGTGGCTTAAGATAACAAACATCATTTATTTACCCACAATTCTGCAATTTGGGAAGGGCACAGCTGGGCAGTTTGCTCCCCCATGATGTCACCAAGGTCAGACATGTACTTTATTTAGTTGAGTCTGACAGGATCTGGAATGTCCAAGATGGATGGCTTCACCCACATTTCTGGCACCTCAGCTGGAGTAGCTGAAATAGTTATGGGCTTCCCTCTCTTTATGTGATTTCTCATCATTCAGGGATCCAGCCCAAGCTTTTCTACACAGTGGCTGGATCCCAAAAGAGAGAAAACAGCAGCTACAAGGTCTCTTAAAGCCTGAATTCAGAAGTCCCAGAATATCACTTCCATTGCATTCTACTGGCCAAAGCAAATTGCAGGGCCCGCCCAGATTCAAAGAGAAGAGAAAAATACTCTACTTCTTGATGGAAGTAGCAGCTGGGATAGGAAAAATTGTTGGCAGTCATATCTGGAAACACTCTACCATGATCTATCCTCTAGCTACAATATACACATGTGCACACGTGTGCACATGCACATACCCACAGACATATAACACATTCACTCCCCTTCCCTAAAGTTACCATTCTGTGTAGCATTGGCTCCAAAGTTCATTAGGCCCAGATGTGGATGAGGCATTTCAGATGTTGCTTCTCTTCATCTGGAGATCTGTGAACTAAAAAGACAAGATACATACACAACATACAATGCTGAAAACAGGATGGAATAATTGCAATAGACACTCCTATTCAAAAGGGAGGGGGGGAATGGAAGGTATAGAACTGTCGCTTTTGCATAGTCATTCTAAAATCCCGCCAAGCACTGTCACCTTGCCTCTCCCCTATAAATGACTCCCCCAAACAGACAATTTTCCATGGTCCTTCTCTTAGGTCAATTACAATATCTATCATTTAAGCACCCTCCCTATAAGTTGACAATTTGATTGGCAACTG